ATCCATCCATCCATTCATACATCCATTCATACATTACATTCATACATTACATACATACATACACACATTAAATAGTTATACATTTTATTTGATTAGAAATTAATTTAAAAAATTTCAGTTTATTTATAGACGGAGTACTGTCAACGGCCCTTAGCGACTATTAAGAAGCAGTGTTCAATTATAACTACAATAGCATCATTTTATAGTAACATCACTTACAGTAACAAATATTTAGTGATACAAGGCATTAGGTGTAACAATAAGTAAGTGGGTCACAATAAGGATAATTTAAATAATTAGTTACAAACATTAGAAACTTTAGATTGAAAATGTACAGATGTGTTTCTAAGAACAGAAATTTTACATTGAAAATGTACGAAGAAAATATTAGATTAATGAATTTTAAAGATTGACCCTCTTCCCAAGCTTTAAAATGTAGTGACAATCATCTTTTCAGATGGCACAAAATTGTCTGCGAGCGTCACAGTCGGAACTAAACCTTAGGCGCTAATATTTTATGCGTTAGGATGAGTGAGAGGAAAAAAACTATATACATGTGTGAAAACGATATTTTCCGAATATAAAGGGAAAGAGAAGAAAATAAAAAATCTAACTAGCATTCGAAATAGGTTACTGAATTATGGATATACACGAACATTTATAATTCCACTCATTTCCTAGAAAAATATTTTCCTGGGGAAATAAACAAACAAGAACAAACAACAAAAATGATTCTCCTAATTTTTTGTTATGTACTGGTTAATTTGTTATTCCTTGCTTATTAGAAATTTTGAATAAGATGTCAATATAAATGTTACTCTTCTTTAGAGAAAACACACGCTGAGGAATTTGCCGTGAGATTCTACGACACTATGAACATCTTGGAACAATTATGCTTCTTCACAATTCTTTACGCCGTTGCAGTCTACGCACGTGAGTGTACTTTCTCTGCAAATATTAAATAATTAAATGATTGTTTACTTTTAAATTTTTAACATGTAATCTACATTAATTGGATTGTTGGTGAAGTAGATACCTTTTTTGTTTTGATAAATAAATAGAGATATTGTCAGGTATCAATATTTTAATTCCACTAATGATCATTTCGACCGCGTAGCGATCATCCTCAGAGCTTGCAGCTTCTGGGCCGAAAACAAAGTTCTGCAGAATTCTGCAAAGTTCTCCAGAACTTTGTTTTCGGCCCAGAAGCTGCAAGCTCTGAGGATGATCGCTACGCGATCGAAATGATCATTAGTGGAATTAAAATATTGATACCTGACAATATCTCTATTTATTTATCAAAATGTAATCTACATATTTAAAGCACTAAAGGTCTTTGGTCAGAAATATATTTAAATTCCACAAGTCAACATCAATACGCAGGACCGTTTAATTTTTACAAACAGCATTTTTACCGCCAAACGCTATTGCTATATCGTTGCGTAGAAAAATAACAAAAAACTGCCAAGTGATGCAATCATCCTCGGTTTCCTCATTCATATAAATGTATTGTTAGTAATAATAAATTCTATTTGTTTACATTTCAGAGGAAGGAGACTGGGGATATGAAAATAATGGTAAGTAATTTTGATACAAGGAATTGCTGCGGAAATATTAAAAGCAATCTATGGGCAATAGTTTTACTTTTGACACTTGGAACTTCTGTATCATTTTAATTAACTACAAATGTGAACTGAAGTAGAGGCGATCGATGTTTTTATCTATTAGTTTTCAACAAATTGGCTTTGCCGTACGTTAGGAATCATTATGTCATATAATCAAATTCACAGCCCTCAGTTCCCCGGGGTAGCTCATCAGTTTGGTCGCAATGTCTACTTGAAAAAAATCTTCAGCACTTTTAGAGGTACCTGATATGTGCGTTTATGATACGTAAGGCCGTATTCATGGTCGACACCTAATAAATGAGGAAATCCTTAATCACGAGTTATTTTCTTCAACTGTCTTGTCGTTGAAGGGCCACGAAGTGAATACTTTGAATATTTTATCAAAGGGTTTCCAACTTGTTTTGTGCGCTTTTAAGATCATTCATAATAAATTAACGACTTAAATTGGTTTATGATTTTGAGCTATATTTTTGTAATAGAATGATGTAGTGCACTGATGTATCAAAGTGCCCCCGAAATCCTTCGCAGAATAGTCGCGAAGACGAACTTCACAAAACCTAAGAGCTACTTCTTCACGAAGCCTGGAAACGTCTACTTTTACAACGATGTCCGTCGCGTTATTGTCGGTTCCCATTCCTCCTTGATGTAATTATAACCGTTTACGTTAGCCGTTTCGGTTAAATACAAAAATTCGCTTTTTACTACAAGTGTCCGTCGTCAAGTAGTACCTCATTGAGGCACATGGCGTAGTTCCACGAGTTGAAGGCAGCCAACGCGAGGGCGCGTGCGCAGGTGCGGCAGCGTGGGGGGACGCGTACCCCGAGTGCGCGGGGGCGCTGCAGAGCCCCATCCCGCTTTCGCGAGGGGACGCCTCGCTGTGGGAGCCGGCGGCGCAGCGAAAGGCGGGCTTCCGGCTGCACCTGCAGAGCTACGGCGCCGCGCAGCGGGGCCTCTTCGTCAACGACGGCAAGTCCGGTGAGCGCCTTCGCAGCCCTGCGGCACACCGCGAGACCGCGTACTGCCATTCGTCTATAGTGGCCTTAGTGTCTATAGTGGATGGCTTGAGCCGATGACACGGAACAGACACCGATAGTAATGCATGCTATGGGGATTGGTCGACTAGCAGTGACTCAGCCTCACCATATATTCACCATACCTTCACCATATATTCTGGTTTGCATTACCAGAATAGGGTGGGTTGCCTCTTCGTTGCACGGCAATAGACCCTGAAAGTACGATTGATTGTGAAGCAAGATGCGCAAAAAAATTAAATGATGCATCTGAGAGATCACCGCGTGAGCTCGAATAACTTTCACTATACTTCTGTTCTTTTTTTTGCGTGTGTGTAGTGGTTGATGACATTCGGTCATTGTTACACCTCCCACCTTATGAAATGAATATTTTTAACAGTGGTAAGCACATTTCTAATGCCACAAGCCCCCTCGAGAAGGGCGTCAGCGAATTAATTAAAAATATTCATTTTATAAGGCGGGAGATGTAACAGTGACCTTATGTCATCAGCCACTAAAAAAAAAAAAAAAAAAAAAAAAAAAAAAAAAAAAAAAAAAAAAAAAGAAGTATAGTATACGAGTACGCGCGGTGATCTCTCAGATGCATCATTTAATTTTTTTGCGCATCTTGCTTCACAATCAATCGTACTTTCAGGGTCTATTGCCATGCAACGAAGAGGCAACCCACCCTATTCTGGTAATGCAAACCAGAATATATGGTGAAGGTATGGTGAATATATGGTGAGGCTGAGTCACTGCTAGTCGACCAATCCCCATAGCATGCTCTCAAGCCAAGAACAGGACAGGTCAATGTTTATCAATAACATGAACAAGATATAGATTAAAACGTTTTATCAGTTGTAAATTCTACTACACGCTTCGGCCTGCAGTTTGCTGCTCAGCAGTTGGTTTTATTGATATTATTCTCGCGACGACAGCAGTAAGGCCATTGTCAGAACTGGAAGATATGAGATCTGAGAACAATAATAGAAGGACGATGTTCTCAAACATTTATACGCCGCACTATCGGTGGAAAATCAACTTAGCAATCTGAGAGATTGACCGCGTGTGCTGCATGGTTAAACTTCTTACTCTACAACTACTTTCGTCTTTTCAATAGTGAGCATTACTTTCTATCAAGCAGTATTTCAAATCGTTAATGAAATTTACTCACACCAAAAAAATTTAAGTAAATAGGTTTTAGAAGTATCAATATTTTCAATTATAATTGAAAAACTTTCCATTTTTTAACAAAAGTTTCTTTTGTTCGCATTGCATATCATTTTATTATTTTCACTTACAGCCTCTTTTCAATATATTTAGTACCTAGCCTTATTTTCAACTTTTACTCGTCAGTTTCGTTTTTTTTATTTCAGTTTTAACCTCTTTAATATTTAACCTTTTTAGTTGTTAGTATAATTTTTAAAGATAAGCAAAATTTGCAGAGACTCCTGGCAACGATAAAAACTCAATAGTACAAGAGTATATATTACAAGAGTACATATTACAGAGTATATATTACATGATACATACAAGAGTAACAGATTCAAGTATTAGTAGAAACCCTTTGTGAACCTTTCTACACATTTGGTGTGTTACGTTCACTACGAAGGAATTATTGGCTTCTCAATTTAAACACTTCTATAATATAGTGAGGAAAATTATTTCTTTGAAATAATGTTTTTGCTGGGTAAAAGTGATGCTAAAATTGCTCTTTCCCTGAATTGAATATACACGAAAACTACACAAAACCACTGCTCAAAGCTACAATACTCATATCTTAAATCGCGCAGTGAATTCTGTTTTCCTTGTGGAAGTAAATGAGTACATGTTTAAATTGATTTATCTAATCTGTCAATAACCATTGTTTTAAAATTTTGATACAATTAAAATGAGAAATGGCTTTCTTTCAGTGGCTTTGACCTTCAATTATACTGACGTAGATTCAGCACCTCATTTGGTTATCTTGAATAACGGATCGGTTGCCTCATACACCCTCACTCGTCTGCACTTTCATTGGCCAAGCGAGCACTGGATAAACAATCAAAGGTATGTCTTCCGAGAGTAAAAATTATATAAATTCTCTCAGCAAACAAATATGTTTGGGGTGTAATGCAAATAATTGAAGGACTCGGTAAATCAAGGGACTATCCCACATTGTTGTGAAATTGAATTATTGGCTTTAAATATACCTTCAAATATAATTCTTTTAGTGTAATGCTATTTAAATCCAGTATGAACTTGTATACAAATGTACTGTGTTTAAAAGTAATGATTTATATTATGAAAGTTCTAGTAAATGCTCAGAATTTCAGAACGAGGTCAATATGGGATCTCCCCTTGATCTACTGAGCTGCGCCTTTCAACTGTTGGACTCTCAATGTACTTGTAAGACAAATATGTAAAAATACCTCATACCAAGCCATCGTATTCCCTTTTCGAAAAATTGGATGTTACAGGTATTTTTATTCATTATATAATAAGAAATATAAACTAGTGCAAAAACAGCATGTATTTTTTCGCCCATATTTTCACTGAAAATGACGCGAAAAATACTAAAGTTCTGGAAAAATTATACATGACTTTATTTCAAAATCTATCTTTTAGGAGAATATTTCATTCTGGGAAATATTCTTTATCTTTAATATTTTAGAAGTATGAAGACTGAAAAGTTTTGTACTTTTGCAATTTTCGAAAAAGGGGGGGTTATTGAACATGAGACCTGCACCATTTTCTTAAACGTTCTTCACACTACACAACAAAAAAATTAAATAAAAAACGATGGAGTACTTTTTTAAATTTTGAAAATATCCCAGGGGCGCAATGGAAAGTACGGCTCTCAAATTAAATTATAGTAGGTTCAAAATTCAAGTGGCTGCGACATTAGTCAGATTGATTGAGGAATATTAATTTTCGAATAAATCTGCTGAACAATATAGCCATTAGCATTGTTCACAAACTGACAGACAGACGTTTTGCCGCCATTCTATTTTTCGGTACTAAGGCCCAACATAACATGGATTCTGGCTACACCACATGTTACAGGTATTTGTTTCTAAATTTAGCAACTTAATTTATCCACATTTTCTCTATCAGAGCTCTGTAATAATTTCTGCCGAAAATTCTTCGTTTTTCCGCACTGCATTACATAACTTTCTCCCTAGCGAGAAAGTAGAAAGTAATATGAGGTAGTAGCATTATACACAGTCTAGATATCAAGACCTTGAGAGAACCGGGTAAGAATTGTGTTAATCGAAGTGCCTTGTTCAGAAGAAGCAAATAAGCTATTTGCTGCTATGAGCCTACGTAAGTGTTCTAAGTCATCCAAACGCATTTTAGTTGTTAAAATCAGAAAACCACGTCTTTTCGATATATTTTAAACTTATGAATGTATAAGCAAAAAATGATTGGAAACACGAAATAATTGGACACATGAAGTGTCATTCGCCGCATCTGGGTTTTCCCACCAGGAAATTCATCAAATCATTTGTCTCGATTAGTAGAGCATAAGGGTCCAAATTTAGTTGAAAATTGTATTTGTATAAAAAGAAAATGTCTGGATATTTTGATTAAATTATTATCAGTTAAGAGAGGAAGGAAATATTTATTAAACAGAAATAAATAATTTTGAAAGAGTAAAATATCAAACAATTGCATTGTAAACTAGATACATACAAAATATGAAAAATATGATTCATTATACACGACATCCAAGAAAATATTTGAATATAAATATGAATTTACACTGAACATAGAGACACAATTAAATTAAAATTGTAAGTTCATTTATTATGTATTGTATAATTATGTATATATTATGTGTATGTATTGTGTATTTATATGTATTATATTTTTATTATGTATCCATTATTACGTATTTACTTTATATTGCAATACAAAATCGCTTACTTAATCTATTAATCTAGTAGAACATTTAAGGGATTAAATAGAAGTCCCAGACAAACATTTAGTTAATCCATCACCTGAGTTAGAGTCACGCAGACAACATTAAAAAAAGAAAAGCACGGGAATAAGATATCATTGTACAAACGTATCAAAATAAATGTTATAAAATTCTAGGTCATGTATCGAGGTAAAACAAATTGTCACTTTTCGACAGGGACTGTATACTGGGAAATTTCATATACTAAGATACAAATGTATCTTTTACCCCTAGTTATTAGGCAACCCCGTATGTACAGATGTCTGGCAGGTCACTTCTGACGCAGTCCATACTTCGTGTACATGCCGAACATCTGTGTATACAAGATTGCATATCAATTAGGGGTAAAAGTCACATGTATAAATGCATGTAACTTCGTTACTGACAATTTAGCACTGGCACACTATATATGCACAGGCAAAAGTGATAATTTTCGACACTTCTCCATAGACCGGTATAACATTTATTCTGAGACATTTGAAGAGCATTTCAAACACACATATGTGTTATTACCAACGTCTGAAGCATATGGAGGGGTCGAATATAGTAACTTGTTGCTAATGATCACGTGGCAGGAAATTTCATATAATTAAGTTACACATATTAAATTTCCTCGTATGAAATGCAACTCATTACGGACTAATGTATGGCAAAACACGTATTGACGTAGCCAAAGAACTTTCATGTAACTAACGAAAACCAGTGCTCGATGAGTTACGTAATAATCAGGGTGAAGAATCAGGTGTATAACTTGATCATACATTTGCCATCACGCGTTTATTGTCAAAAAGTTATCAACTTTGGCCTCCTACATGTCCCAGGAGTTTGTAACATTTGTTCTGAGACCCCTCCCCCGTACACCGAAAAAAAAAGAATCGTTAGAGTATACCAGATCCATGATACTGTGTCAAGGAAATTTGTTACAGTATCATGTAACCGAAATTCTCCAACGGTTCTTTTTTTTCGGTGTACTTTAGACAAGGCAAAACTATTCTGTAGCTTAAGTAGATGTACAACAAATTGCAGGTATTCTCAAAACTCAGAGCGATGAATGGAATTTTAAAAATGACACTTTCCATGTTTCCGAAAAATTAGACAACTTCGCTAAACCGACGAATTCTTTACATTCTACTAACAGGTTAGTTTCATGTAACGCTTTCGTGTTCGCTATCGCGTTTAATTATACCCAACGGGTATCACGTCAGTTTATACCGGTCTGTGAAAAATATTATTTCGAAAGTCCCCTTTTCACAACACGCGGCTGAACCTCACGAACAGACGCTCGCGATATGTTATGATAGTGTTCGAAAAAACTCGATAACAGACCTTGACAATTCGAATCTCTCAATTGCTTGACTTTGTTCATTCTAATTAACATTCCTCATTTTGCTCTTGCTAATTCATCTTATCTCTATATTTAACTTCGGTTCGTTGCATTTTTACCATGCTGCATTGAAGAAGGGGGGAGAGGGTAGATCACCAACTCAATTAGGGTTTTCATTTGCTTTTCCTTGATCCACAGAACAAGTGTTGAAATTGCACCTTCATTTGTTTCTGACCAGTAAATGTATTTTACCAACCTGTGTACATTCTCTTGGGTTCTCATTTTTCTTGAATGGTACGTGTAATTGTCTCGTCACGGTCAAATAAAATTCTTTTTAGATTGATTACAAATGAAAATAGTTTTTATTTCACGAGAAAGAACATCTTTTGTCATTCGTTTTCTGAAAAAACTCATGTTGCTACTTTATTCCCTACTTTTTATCACACGTCACGTTCAATTTTTACATTTTTTGACAATAAATAAATTTGTACACATATTACTGACCATTTTATTACTTAACCAAATTAATATACACCATTTCAAAAGAGGCAAAATTCTATTCTGATAAACTTGCTGCAAAACTCCCATTTTTCACACTGTTTATTTAATTAATCTATATCTTCTTTTGTACATTTTTACTTTTACTAACTCGCATACTAAATACGTAGAATACAGAAAAGTTTGTAATACTGCCGCAAAAAGTGCAATTGTCGACAGAAAGATCCGTATTTGAGATCCTTGACACCGAGGAAGTGAATAACTCTTTTTTCCATAAATATAGTAATATGGGCAATGTTAATAACACGATTTTCTCAAATACAGCAAAAAGATTCTTTACACGTTTTCTGTAATAGTCAATCTTTCTTAGTAGTTGAATGTACAGCATGTAGTTTGCCAACGAAGAAATGTCTGTGTCTGCATAACTTTTGTTTTTCCCCTGGCATACAAAAATATAGGAATGAAGGTTATCATTATATTGCACTGACCCCTTCCATTCACAAAATATTTTCAATGAATATCATGTTGTTTTAATTAATGCTACAAGATTTAAGAGGATTATCAGTGATGCATACTTTCGTGGGATATTTTATTTTTCCGGCTTATCCTCAATTTTAAACTATGTTAATGTAAAATTCTATATAAGATTCTTTTTTTAGAGATACAGGTACCCATGTATTATTGAATTATGTATGTATTATTGAATTATTGAATGTATTATTGAAAATTTTTGAAAGAAGGAAAATATTTTTTTTAAAACAGCATTGAGGGAAAAAACATTAACATAAAACACTTTTCATTGTCCAGAGTGGGTAAACAAGATTAGGGAGCTAGAAACAAATCAACAGTTTTATTTCAGAATTAAGGCAATGTTTTACTATATTTACTTTCCGGTGATGGTTCTATTTGCCTTCTTATTCGTCTAAAGTTAAGAACAATCAATATTTTTTTGTCTTCTGTCCAATGTTCATAGCAGACATACCGTCAACAAGATAATTTACGAGGGAAAGACTTGTGATGTGATAAGATGTTAACAGAATGGAAAACATGAGAAGAAAACAGTACAAACACTGCACAATTGAAGTATATCGTTTGTCAGATAATAGTTACGTAAAAATCCTTCTGCGATTTTTCTGTCGCAAATTGTGATTAGAACAATACACAATACCCTAAGTTCGTAAATAACTGTTTAGCATATTTTCAAACGATTGTGTAGTACAAATACCTTGTT